AAAATTGGAAACAAGAGGGGAAAATATGGAAAGAACATGATACTTACAAACGGCGTATCCGGCACACTATCATCGAAGCCACCCCAACCAATCGGTTGGATATCCGGACGTGGAGCAGCAAAATCAGACTTCGCAGCACCTAAAGAGTCACAACTCTGGTGGACAAATGGCTCGGCTATCTCAAACCTCTACAATCGCGTGCATATGTCCACCAAATATTATTTCTCACCAGCTTTTTCAGCGAGATATTTAGAGAAATCAAACATCATCACCGCATCAGCATCATCGTCGTCTGAGAGATCTCCCCCTGTTCGAACGGACGAAGACATTAGACCGACCTGGTAAAACAGATTATCAGAAAAGGAAAAAATCTCAAATAACAATGCCAAAAGACTTCGAAAGAAAAAAGTTGGAAAAAGAGTCAAAAATTTCCTTTTCAAACAAGAGCAATAGATTTGCATAAGCTATTCTTGCACTCCTGTGAGAATCGTCACCTGAACTCCCCCTACACACAGCTGAACTCGTGAGAAGCCCCGCCTCAGATTGCCACACCCTTTCTTCGACGACGCCCCACCCCCCGACAACTCAGCCGACTTATCAGGGGCACGATAAGCTCTACTCCTCGGCTACAGCTACCTATATCTACTGATCTTGAGGCTAGTAAACGAGCAAGTAATTCATAGATTTTTCGCGGAGAATTTCACCTATGAAAACTCAGTGGTCGTGCACAAAATCAATGGGGGTTCAAGGAAGCTCAATTCGAAACAGCGCGTTTCAGTTCCAAGTTTCTTTGTTACTATACATCATAACGTTTGAAGAAATCTTCCACAATGGCTGATGAGCGACGAGCTCTTCGCTCCAGGGGTGCGGAAATGTCAACTCAAAAATCTACTTCTGATATTTTTTTCGGAAAATGGGAACAGTAATGACCCAATATTAGACTGTTTCAAAGTAGACACTAGGAATTTTTAGATAAGGGAAGCACCACGATGAGTGTTTCAAACTACTTATAGGAGAGCTAATTCACTGGAAACGAAAGAAGACAATCGGAAAGACAGAAACAAAAGGAGAAAATCTAGGAAAAAAAAAACAGAAAAGAGCGGCAAATTCTACTATATTGAAAGTAGGCACGAAACAATTAACCTACAGTGTCAAGTGAATCGCCACCTGTAAACGAAGTTGGTGGCATATTCTCGTCGTTAGTCAGCTCAACAACCACCGGTTCCCATACTCCAACTTCAAAGGTATTCTGAATTGATTCAGTTTTATCGAGGAAACAAAATGCAAGGCCCGATCATGGTCTTTAACAACAACGCAGCAACAGTGGCGAACAGATTCTGTCTGGCTCAGCCAAAAACCCCTAACATTAGCATTAGAGTAAAAGAGTAGCTGACTGCACCATAACAGAGGAATAGAGCGGGATAGTGAACGAAAGGAACACCAGTGAGCTGAAGTATACCCCCCCCCATTCTAGAAGCTGATTTACAACCGAACCGCCCGCGATCAAACAACGCACAGATGGCGGATATCCTATCGTGGAAGATTTCTTATTTCTGCGCTGCGACAGTGCAATACCTTCTTTGTACCTACCTTCTTGTACCTTCTTTATTTTTTCCAGCAGCGGTGGGGACTCCATCACTCGTATATTCTCTAGTCTCCCATGGTCTATTTTCTTTCTTACACTCACTGATCCTGCGCCGTTTACTCATGCAATGCTTGGAGCCAGCAGCACTCGTAATTAGGGCGTTTTCGAGCCTTTCTTTGCCTTTTTTTTTCTTCATTATTATTCTGTTTACCATATGATTCAATGATTGTGAGCTCTACAATCTGCGAAAGACCATCGCAAGCGCTGCTTTTCAAGGAAAAAACCTTCACCTCCGCCTCGATTTGATCTTTGGTGAGCTTTCCTGCAGCGATTTCAGTCGCACGATTTTGTTCCCTGAGTTGTTGGATTTTCGTAACAATGAGTGATTGTTTCTCCTCATATGTAGCGGGATAGGAAAGCGGCGTCCATTCGTAATTATCCGGGACTATGGCATCTTCCTTTGAAAAAAATCACATAGATGAGACATTCTGAAAGCATGGTGACGACATAATATCCTACCTTGGAATATCCTAGAGCATCAATTAACGTCTTTTGACGCAGCTCGTCTGCCAGCAAGAGGTGGTTGATCCTG